GGCCTGGTGGCATGGCAGTGTGGCAGTGATGAGCTCCTCCAAGGCATGCAGGAGATGAGCACAGACGCTGTTAATTACTGTAGCAGACATCTGTTTCCTTCCCTGGCCCCCTCCTCACACCGAGACCCCGACCAGCACCCACATCTCCAGGGACATTGTGTCCCCCAGATGCATTGTCCCTGTGGGCACAGTACATCCAACTGGTGCTGGATGGTGTGGCACAACCCATGGGGGCACAGCCAGACCCTGTGCCCCCCACCTACTTCTTACCACCCCAGGCTTCCAGGACCCCATAATACAAGGAGCTCCCTTCAGCATGGTGAAGATAATAACCCCCTCCAAGAAATCCAGGCCTGCTGTGGCTTTGGAGAGCTGTGGTGGGGCAGGTGGATGGAGCCATGCCTGGCATTGTACCTGCTGCCTGCACCAGTGCTGTGGGGCTCAAACTCCCCAGCCCCACTTTCTGCTAAGGCAAACCCCTGTGGGCACTGGGGATGGGGCAGGCCTGCATAGGGGCACAGATAGAGACAGAATCAGGCCCTGCATTGCCATGACCCACGGGGCATTGCCAATGCCCCCAAGCATGGGTGAGGGACTTGAGACCCTCATCTCCCATGGCACATCCCCACTATGCACCAGCCCAAGCAAATGCCAAGTCAAGGCCACAGTGATGCTGAGCTTGGTGATGCAGCATGGAAATCGGGGTGCTGGGTTGGGAGACCTGCCTCATAGGGGACAGGGGGGGCAGAACCCCACAGGCCACTTCCAGCACATGGGGAGCACAGGGACTCCAAGCCCTGTAAAGAGCTCAGCACCTCCCAGGGCATCCCTACCTCTAACATGCTGGGAAATGCACATGCAGAGTTTAATTAACTTTATTGATATTCAGAAATTAGGGGACTGACTAGAGGTAATTGCTCATTAGAAATCATTAGACTGACACGGTAAGCACCAGCCTCCCTCGGGGGAAGCCTGCCCTGCCCAGGGCCCTGCTCCCAGGACAGAGCCAGGGACACAGACCCCTCCTCCAGCCTCACAGCTCCCCAGCAGGGCAGGAAAGGGGGGTGCCGTGACCTTACCCCACTTACTGCCTGGCAGGGGGTCTCCCATACATCTCCCCTCCAAGTAAGGGGGCTGTGGCAGCAGTCCTGGGTGGCAGAGACAGGAATAGCAGCGGGCACAGGGCCACGGCTCGGCTGCCAGATGGGGAGTTTATGTAACTCCTGCAAGGCTGCAGCCCCGCATCCCGCATCCCTCCGGGACCAGGGCCGGGCCCCTGCCCGCTCCTCACCCTGTGCGTGCTGCCCACCACTGACACGGCTGTGCTGAACTGGGGCACCCCCAGCCCTGGGGGGTCCTCAATACTGGTTTTTCGGGGCAGTGGAGCTACGAGGCATTGAGGCTGCTGGGCTGCCCGTGCCCCAGGGGTGGCAGAACCAACAAGCCAAGCTGGGTGTTGGCTGCTCTGCTTGGGAAGGACCAACACTCGCCATCCCTGTCATTTCCCTGACAACCCCCCAGAGCTGGAGAGGTCACCCCAACGGCGGTGAGAGCCAACAGCCCCGGTCCCCAACACCCCCCAGCCTCACGGCAGGGACAGCACAGAGGGACCGGTTCGCAGCCCAGCGCCAGGCACAGCCAGCCCGGGGGTGGCTCGGAGGGCTCAGGGCCGGGGGAGCGGTGCCGCGGTGCCCCCCACCCCCGGTAATTCCGACAGAGGGGCTGTCGCCAGAGCCCGCCGGGGGCGGCG